CAATAAAAATGAGTGAAGTATTCATACATATTGAAGCACGAATGAGCCTTCAAAAGTTAAGTGCTTTGTTGAAAAAACCATCACAAACGAGCACTAACGTATGATTTCATTATACGAAATATACCTAATAGGCAAACTTAGAGAGACAGAAAGTAGATTACTGGTTACCTGAGACCAGGGACATAGGTTGGGTAAAAGATGAGTAACAGTTAACATGTACAGCTGGTGCTCGACTTAATGACCACGGTCAGGACTGCAGAATGGCCGTAACACGATTTGGTCATAAGTTGAGTCGGCTATATGTACAGTTGAAATGGTGCGTGCGGAGATGGTAGTGCTGCTAGAAGCTGGTCCACACTGTTGTACGCCCAGCTGGGCAACGTTTGCACTGCCAGACGCAGAGCAGTCGCGGCTAGTGATTGTGGTCGTAAAGTCAAATGGTCATAAGTTGCATAGGTCGTAAGTCGATCAATACCTTATGGTATTTTTTGAGTCGTGGTGATATACAACTTTGTGAATATACCAAAAACCATTAAATTTTACACTGTTTCCCCCCAGCATTATCAGAATAAATTTAATTTTGTTAGCTTACCAGGGAAAATCACATTACTAACCACACAACAGATTGATTCTGAATGGATTGCAAAACCAAAGTTTAAACCTAAATCCTGACGCTTTTAAAAGAAAACAGAATAACATCTTTGTGGTCTTAAGATAGAGAATGATTCCTTAAATAAAACAAAAGATACTTAGTATACTGGGGAAATGACAAATGAGATTATTTAAATACATTTAAGTATTTCTCATCAAAAGACAGAGAGGAGAAAGAGACAGAAGATGTATTAGTTTGTTTTCACACTGCTATAAAGAAACACCTGAGACTGGGTAATTTATAAAGGAAAAAGATTTAATTGATTTACAGTTCCACATGGCTGGGGAGGCATCAGGAAACTTAACAATCATGGCGGAAGGCGAAGGGGAAGCACGAATGGGAAACAAACTTCACATGGTGGCAGGAGAGAGAAGCGAGCAAGAGCAGGGAAAACTGCCTTAAAAAAAAAACCATCAGATCTCATGAGAACAGCATGGGCGAAGCTGCCCCCACGTTCCTGTTTCAACAAGTGGGGATTACAGGTCCCTCCCTTGACAAGTGGGGATTACAATTCAAGATGAGATTTGGAGCTGGGTGGGGTGGCTCATGCCTGTAATCCCAGTGCTTTGGGAGGCTGAGGTGGGTGGATCACCTGAGGTCAGGAGTTTGAGACCAGCCTGGCCAACATGGCAAAACCTATTCTCTACTAAATATACAAAAATTAGCTGGACGTGGTGGTGAGTATTTGTAATCCCAGTTACTCAGGATGCTGAGGCAGGAGGATTTCTTGAACCTGGGAGGCAGAGGTTGCAGTGAGCTGAGATCGTGCTATTGCACTGCAGCCTGGGTGACAAGAGCAAAACTCCGTCTCAAAAAGAAAACAAAACAAAAAAAAGAGATGAGATTTGGGTGGGAGCACAGAGCCAAACTGTATCGGAAGACTAACTAAAAAAGGACTCCTATCTAGCATACGTAAAGAACCACACAAACCAACAAGAAAAAGACAGTTATTAATAAAACAACAGGAAGCGAGGCAAAATAAAATAACAGGCTTCAAAATAGAGGTTATTCTATGACCCCCCAGAAAGTGTTAACAAGTGTTCAATTTTCTTAGCAATCAGAGAAAAGCCTAATGATAAACAGCAACCAGGAGACTGAAATGAAAATGACATAAAATACCAAGTGTTGACAAGGATGTAGAAAACTACATATAAATATAAAACAGCCTATAGAATCTAAAAAACCATATATAAAGTTCCCACTCTACAATATTTATATAAAATGTGAAAGACGTAAAAGTAACCTCTGCAATGTAGTGCAGAGATGGCAGTGTAGTGCTCATCCTTGAGGATAGTGACCGGCTGGGATCACAGAAAAATAGCAGTGAGCTTAAAGTATCCTGTTTTTTTAAATTTTAAATATAAAAGCTTCATTGTGCTACCCACTTATGACCTGTGTATGTTATGTTTACTTTTTTTTATCTTTTGTTTTAGGTTCAGGGGTACATGTGCAGGTTTTTTTATATAGGTAAATTATGTGTCTTGGGGGCTTGGTGTACAGAATACTTTGTCACCAAGGAAAGAAGTATAGTACGTGATAGGTATAGTACGTGATAGGTAGTTTTTTGATCCTCACCCTTCTCCCACCTTTGACCCTCAAAGAGGCTTCAAATTTTATACTTTAGGAACGATATATAATATATGAATTACATATATGTAATATATGAATTATATATATATATTTATATATTTATATTTGTGTGTGTGTGATGGAGTGTCACTCTGTTGCCCAGAGTGGAGTACAGTAGTGCGATCTCAGCTCTCTGCAACCTCCGCCTTCCAGGTTCAAGCGATTCTCTTGCCTCAGCCTTCTGAGTAGCTGGGACTACAGGCACATACCACCACACATAACACTACTTCTACCTCTTTTACACTTTATGTAAATATTGTGCAGCATGAACTTTTGTACATGGCTTTTTACATGTTCTGTAGGCTGTTTTGAATTTATATGTAGTTTTTCATGTGAAAATATCACCCAATTAATTATTCCACTTCTTACGTGCATGTGTGTTTTTCATCTGGAATCTTAGTAGAGGGGGTGGTTTCACCATGTTGGCCAGACTGGTCTTGAACTCCTAACCCCAGTAATCCACCTGTGTCGGCCTCCCAAAGTTCTGGGATTGCAGGTGTGAGCCACCGTGCCTGCCGTATGGTATATAAATTTTATCTTAATAAAGCTACTAAAAAATTGGTCAGTATCAAAGTATACTGAGGCTATGATTTCTTTTTGCTGCTGAACTCTTGAATTACTTAGTCATTTTTAAACATCGAGCTTATTGTACTTCAGCTCTTTTCCATATATAAACCTTTTCATAAAGGTTGGGATACAGAGCTAAATAAGTACGACAAGTCAGCATCTTTTTTTATTTTTTGATACCGAATCTTGCTCTGTTGCCTCAGGCTGGAGTGCAGTGGTGTGATCTCTGCTCATTGCAGCCTCTGCCTCCCAGGTTCCAGTGATTCTCTTGCCTCAGCCTCCTGAGTAGCTGGGATTATAGGTGTGTGCTACCACGCCCAGCTAATTTTTGTATTTTTAGTAGAGACAGGGTTTCACCATATTGGTCAGGCTGGTCTTGAACTCCTGACTTCAGCTGATCCGACGACCTCAGCCTCCCAAAGTGCTGGGATTACAGACATGAGCCACCACGCCTGGCCAAGTCATCATCTTGTTTGCTGCTGTCTTCTTTAAATGCATCTACTGTGCCTTCCTTTCTTAGGACATCTAAGTAAATTGAAATACTGTAGTCCAAAACTTGCATACTCCAATGAACTATTAGGCTTCTACATTTTTTTTTTTTTTTTTTTTGAGATGGAGTCTCGCTCTGTCACCCAGGCTGGAGTGTGGTGGCATGCTCTCGGCACACTGCAACCTCTGCCTCCCGGGTTCAAGCAATTCTCCCGCCTCAGCTTCCCAAGTAGCTGGGATTACAGGTGTGCACCACCATGCCCAGCTAATTTTTGTATTTTTAAGTAGAGATTGGGTTTCATCATGTTGGTCAGGCTGGTCTCGAACCCCTGACCTCATGATCTGCCCGCCTCAGCCTCCCAAAGTTCTGGGATTACAGGCATGAGCCACTGCACCTGGCTGCTTCTACATTATTATGTCAGGTAGCTAGCTACCTACTAGTACATATGTACTTTTTTTTGTTTTGTTTTTCCTGAGACGGAGTTTCGTTCCTGTTACCCAGGCTGGATTAATGGTGAGATCTTGGCTCACTACAACTTCTGCTTCCTGGGTTCAAGCGATTCTCCTGCCTCAGTCTCCCCAGTAGCTGGGATTACAGGCAGATACCACCATGCCCAGCTAATTTTGTATTTTTAGTAGATACAGGGTTTCTCCATGTTGGTCAGTCTGTTCTTGAACTCCCAACCTCAGGTGATCTGCCTGCCTCAGCCTCCCAAAGTGCTGGGATTACAGTCATGAGCCACAACACATGGCCTTGTATGTATTTTTATAACATCTTAAAGCTTATTGGCCTTACCATGGCATATCATTTTGCTCTTTGGGCCTTTTCAGTTCAACTGCTATGAAAAGAGGAAGACTTTAGTAAAGACGCCTTCTTCAAGAGTCATCACTAGCAGTAGTGATTATAATTTTTTTCTAGGTTTTTTTTTTTTTTATAAGGGGACTGAATCAGCAATATCTCTATTTCATTATCGTAAACACTACTGACATACTGTTGAATTTTGTAGGACACAAATATCTACTTGCTGTTTATTCTAAAAAGTATAGATTCTTAAAGAAAGAACCCTCATTCACATATGACCCAGTCAGGTCAGGCTAAGCTCTGCCAGGCTATATAAAACAGTTAGTGATAAAGTAGAGAGTGGTTACATCCTATTCAAATTCAAATTGCTTCCATTAGAGAAATCTTAAAATGCCTCTCACACTGGTAAACCTGTAACTACTGACATAAGGGATGAAGGAATGTAAAGATTAAAACTATGGTAGAGTTTCAAGGTTGAATGGCCTTAATGTCTTCATTTTAAACTGCCAATCCAAGGCCCTTTCACTGTGTCATGTTGTCATTAGATTTACTGTGAGACCATAGATACTGTCTAAAAGGCCCTAGAATCTTTTCTGAGTTTTATTTGATTCGATAAGTCATTCTTCTTTCATCAGTTCTATTGAAAAATCCCCTCCCCATCCTATCATTCTTCACCAGAGCTTTCAGAGGAAGTAAACTGAAAAGGCAGGCTGTTTGCAGTAAAACTCCAAAAAACAGATGGTTCCCAAAAATGTTTGGTCACAGTTCTTACTCCAGGTAGCAGCATATGATTGGGGAAGGAATGGTGCTTGATATCATCTCTGTTAACAAAAATCTTTTATTGTCACTTTTTTCCCCTAGTATCGTCGTCCTCCCCACAGTCAGGCTGCCCATCACCCACCATTCCAGCAGGTAAAGTCATTTCTTCATCACAGAAGCACAGCAAGAAGGCCCTAAAGCAGGTAAGCATTGCTAGTCTGTGTTTATCAAGTATAATCTTTCACATTAAAAATGCACACCTCTGGCAGTCATCAGATATTTCTTGAAAGTTTTTTACACTGGGCCTTTGTCAGTGGAAACTTCATGCAGTAGCCCAGTGTGGTTTTAGTAATTTATACACCTCTTTGTAATGCATGTTACAGGTTTTTGGTAGATACTCTTTTTGTCACATTTTTTAAGTGTCTAATTTGTTTATAGTTTGCTCAGAATCTTTTGTTTGTATGTATGTTTGTTTGTTTGTTTTAAGACAGGGTTTCACCATGTTGGCCAAGCTAGTCTAGAACTCCTGACCTCAGATGATCCGCCTGCCTCGGCCTCCCAAAGTGCTGAGATTACAGGCGTGAGCCACCGTGCCTGGCCTGTATGTATGTTTTAAAATCATGAATAGGTGTTGAATTTTTCAGGTTTGTTTTCTTTGGGATTTATTGAGATTATCATGTAGATTTTTCTCTTTTAACCTATTAATATGCCGAATTACACAGTTAGATTTTCTTTTTTCTTTTTGAGGCAGAGTTTCGCTCTTGTTGCCAGGCTGGAGTGCAGTGGTGTGATCTCAGCTCACTGCAAACTCCACCTCCAGGGTTTAAGAGATTCTCCTGCCTCAGTCTCCCGAGTAACTGGGATTACAGGCGCCTGTCACCATGTCTGGTTAATTTTTGTATTTTTAGTAGAGATGGGGTTTGACCCCATTGGTCAGGCTGGTCTTGAACTCCTGACCTCAAGTGGTCCACTCGCTTCAGCCTCCCAAAGTGCTGGAATTACAGGAGTGAGCCACTGCACTTGGCCTAGATTTTCTAATATTACAGTACCCTTAACTTGGCTGGGCACAGTAACTCACACCTGTAATCCTAGCATTTTGGGAGGCCGAGGCAGGCAGATCACCTGAGGTCAGGAATTCAGAGACCAGCCTGGCCAACATGGTAAAACCCTATCTCTACTAAAAATACAAAAATTAGCCGGGAGTGGTGGCGCGTGCTTGTTGTAGTCCCAGCCACTTGGGAGAATTAGAAGAGAGAATAGCTGGAACCCAGGACGTGAAGGTTGCAGTAGGCTGAGATCATGCCAGTGCCCTCCAGGGCGACAGAGCAAGACTTGGTCTCAAAATAAATAAATAAATAATAAAGAATAAATGAATTTACACAATCACAGCAGAAGTAGATGTAGTCAAGTGGTTCTACTAAATTTTACATTGACCTGAAATTCCACGAGTCCTGTGAGGAGCAAGGAATGAATACTGGTGGCTACATCCCCAGGAAGTCTATGAACATCTTCTGATCTAATTACAAAGAATGAGAGAATAAGCCATAATGAGTGGTCAGTCAATACTGCCATTTTATTTACTTTGTGCCTCTGCCTCACCTATTATAAATGTAGATGAGGCTACGCCAGACACAGAGCTCTCTCTGTTGCTTTTCTACATTGGCAACTTAGAGTGAGGAGATCAGTTCTTGCCACTGTGCCTGTAGTATAGCCAGAGATACATGTGAAATGTTAAGCAGGAGGAGACTGTATTGAGAAGAGAGAATAGGAAACCAAAAGTAGCCAGTTATTCCACACTTTTCTACATGATGGTCTTAAAAGCTTAAAACTGGCAACTTGGCAAAGTCAAACTTCAGTTTTTTTCCTGAAATTACTTTCTTTGTTTCTTTATCTCTTTGTTAAAAAAAACCTTTAGTTAAAAGTTGCTTTTGGCTGGGCGCATTGGCTCACGCCTATAATCCCAGCACTTTGGGAGGCCGAGGCGGGTGGATCACGAGGTCAAGAGATCGAGACCATCCTGGTTAACATGGTGAAACCCTGTCTCTACTAAAAATACAAAAAATTAGCTGGGCATGGTGGTGCATGCCTGTAATCCCAGCTACTCAGGAGGCTGAGGCAGGAGAATTGCTTGAATCCAGGAGGCAGAGGTTGAAGTGAGCCAGGATCGCGTCATTGTACTCCAGCCTGGGTAACAAGAGCGAAACTCCGTCTCAAAAAAAAAAAAAAGTTGCTTTCATAATATTTTTGTGATTAAAATTTGGATATTTCTTTTTTTCTGTTCATTTAAATATTATTGAATATATTTTGAAAATTCAGAACCTCATAGAAATCAGAATTTTCTGAAGCAGACAAAAGGAACCACACCGTTGTTAGAACCAGTGTTGTCTAATCTTCCTCCTCTGTTTACTGCATTGCTATAAATTGCTGAGATTTGATATTTGGGACACATCTCATTGCTGTCACCCAAGATAACTGATGTAGTTATTTACAAACTTGTGTAAAAATATAGTACCTCTGAAGCCTGTATAAACGAAATATTTACATTTCTACACAGGTTTGATGTAGATAGGGCTCTTTTTGTTATAAGGCTTAGAATTTTGTTTCTAGAAATGATTGAAAGCATACAGTCTCTGCTTACAAGACTGGGAAGTTTTTGGCTTACCTAGTGATATTTTAAGTCCTAAAAAATGCTAATGACTACTTTTCACATTTATATAAGGGAATGATACTGACAAAAACTATCCAAACTCTAAGAATCATTCAGGGTTTGTGTTTAGTTGGCTTAATTCAAACCAATAAGAATAGATACTACACTTGATCTTAGTCAAAAGGCCAAAAAGGAATAGTTGGCTTAATTTAGGTTTTTGTTTGCTTTGATAGATTGCAAAGATATTGAATGATCAGCATACTTCTTGCCATTTAAAAATTAAGTCATTTACTTTACATTATTACTAAAAAACTGATTTGTTTTGTTTCTTATAGTCTGTTTTATCTTTATAGGCACTAAAGCAGCAACAGCAGAAGAAGCAGCAGCAGCAGCAGCAGCAGCAGCAATGCAGGCCAAGCATATCCATCTCCTCCAACCAGCATCTCTCTCTAAAGACTGTCAAAGCAGCCAGTGACTCTGTACCTGCCAAACCTGGTAGGCAGTTTCGGCATTTTTTCAATGGAAGTTTATTTTTCCTAGTATTTTTGTGTTGGTTTTCCTAATTTATTTATGACTTTTTTTTTTTTTTTTTTTTGAGATAGAGTCTCTCTCTGTTGCCCAGGCTGGAGTGCAGTAGCTCGATCTCTGCTCACTGAAACCTCTGCCTCCCAGGTTCAAGCAACTCCCTGCCTCGGCCTCCTGAGTAGCTGAGATTACAGGCACATGCCACCATGCCCAGCTAATGATACCATTCATTTTTAAATTACATTTATTTACACAATCCTTGTACTGTCAAAACATCAATATAAATCCTTCTAGGATAAATGGGAAAAGTTGTATGCAAAATAACCGTGGAGTTATCAAAAAATGCCTCAGAGGTTGCAGTGAGCCGAGATTGCACCACTGCACTCCAGCCTGGTATCAGAGCGAGACCCCATCCTCCACCGCAAAAAAAAAAAAAAGCCTCAGAGCCTAGGAGTTTGAGACCAGCCTGGGCAAAATAGTGAGACCCTGTCTCAAAAAAAAAAAAAAAAAAAAAAAAATTAGCCAGGTGTGGTAGTACATACCTGTAGACCCAGCTACTCGGAAAGCTGAGGTGGGAGGATTGCTTGAGCCTGAGGGGTCAAGACTGCCATTAGCCCTGATCTCACCAGTGCACTACAGCCTGGATGACAGAGTGAGACCTTGTTTACAAAAAAATGTTACCACTGGGACTGCATTTAAGAAGGAAATCAATGACTGGCTTTCAAGATGGTCTAATCTAATAATATTTGAAAACCTCTAATCAGCAACCTTAAAATCTGATGTTTCCAAGAGGCTCAGACTAAATTCTTAGCCAGTTTTCTGTAAAAACACGTTTTCCTGAGAATACATACTACCTTTGGACATGTCTATAAGGCCTTTGGATCTTTTGTCCTGGTTGCTTGTTTTGTTTCTACTCTAGACTTTCTAGATACAGACTTTTACATAATTCAGTTTGATACCTACCATAAGCTGATACTATGGGCTTGCCAGACTCATTCTGAATCTTACAGAACTGCATTTTTATGAGAAAGGAAATTTGCCACCAGAAGCAAATAGTATGCTGGGAGGAAAAACAGGGTTTTATTTTACTCTTTGACTTTAATTCTCAAACTCAAAACACATTAGGGAGGGTCACATTGCCTCATACATAACTTCATTTAGTGAATGTTGAATGACTGATTGATTGATTCTGTCTATAATCTCAGTGCTACCAGTCTTTACATATTTTTTTCTCCTAGCAATATGGGAAGGAAAGCAATCTGATGGACCATCAAGCAGCCCTCAAAACTCAAACTCCAGCTTTTCTTCGTCAGTTAAAGTGGAAAATCCTTTGTTAGGCTTGGGGAAGAAGTCATTCCAGAGATCTGAGAGACTCCATACGAGTAAGTTTGCTTACAAAGACTTCAGTTTTCTTTGCCATGGTTTATCAGCTACATGTTTGAAATTCATCAGCTACCTGGCTTAGGTACTTAAAACTTAGATTTGAGTTACATAGCAAAGGTTAGCCATAAGTTTTGTTGTTGGTAACATGATTACTTTTAAGAAATGAAAAGTAACAGGAACAGAATTGGTTTAATATGTCTTTCTCCTGTTATCCTGTTTACCTTTGAGCTCTTTACAGTATTCATGTTCTTCCTGTCTTCCTCTTAACAAACTTTATTTCAGAGAAAGATCTATTGTCAACCATTTTGTGGTTTATTTCCCTTTCTGCCAATAGGTTGCTTTGTCCGATATTATTCAAGTTTTATTTCTGTGTAAAGAAAGAAAGAAAAGGGTTATAATTAAATATATATGACAACTTTTTTTCTGAACCTTTTTCTGTTTCTTCTGAAATCCCACTGAAATGAAAATATGGAAATACAGCAGATAAAATCCATACAGGCTAATAAAACAAGACCACAGCTGGGCAAGTGATGTCAGCACATTTTGAGAGTTGAAAACTGGATAGAATTTTTCACTGAGCTGAAGAGCAGTTGCTAGGGATAAGCAAGCCACATAAGGCTGTAGAACACCAGGAAGGCTCCAGAATTGGAGATATGTGTTACAGAAGAGAAGCGGGGAATCTTGTTTGAAAGTTAGTAAGAGGCAGTTTGATGCCTTACCCAAGCAGAAGACAGGAGGTTTATTTTGAGGTGAAATTTGAACCAGAGAAACTCCAAATTCAGGGATATCAAACATAGCTGGGGGCAGATGAGGAGGCACTATACTGAAATCTGGAAAATCAAGTAAAATGTAAATATTGAATAGGGATTCTCCTCCTAGGCTTTCAAAATTCTACTAACAAGGCATATTTCTAACACCACTACCTTCTTCTTCCCATCATGCTCCAGCTTGACATTGGTGGATTGGTACCTAAAGACATTGAATAGTCTTAGAAAAAACTCTGCAGGCAAATGTATAGGTTTCCAGCTAAGTAGAGATTATCTTGATAATGTTTCAGTAAAGCTGAAGAAATTTCTTAGAAAAATCTGTTAAAGTGAAAAAGAGGTTCATAGGAGAGAAAAAGAAAGAAACTTAGAACACCAATCTAGGTTGTACAATGTCTCACCGAGTAGGAGTATCAGAAAGGAAGAACAGAATGTGATAGAAAGAAACACAATAAGAACATTATTTAGAATCAAAAGCCACAGAATTCCAGATTAAAAGTGTGTAATAGGCATTAAGAAACATGAGTGAAAAGAAACCTATGCCAAGGCACATTCTTTTTAAAATCTCAAAATATCCAGGGTCATGAGAAGGTAACAAAATGCCTCCAGATGAAGAAAAATACTACATATAGAAAGATTCAAGATTTGGGAATACAGACATCCTTAGCAGCAACATGAAAGCTAAAAGTGCAGCAGTGCTGACACATTCTGAGGGAAATTTATTCTGTATTCATTTACGTATTCCAGACTGATCTAAACTATTAAGTATGAGAACAGAATTAACAGTATTTCAGACAAATGCTTTGTTAAAACAAAAACAAACAAACAAAAAACTTAGTTTGATTCTAGAGGGGATTGTACATTTTTCTTAATGGTAGTATGTCACATATTTAAACTGAATGTACCCTTTGATCATCAGTTTTACTGCTAAGGATAGAAATATTTATTTATTAAACAAATATCTGTAGAAGGTATGCTAATATGCCAAACACAGATTGAGAGTCCTAGGGCTATGGTGATGAAAAGAACAATATTTCTTCCTCATGGAGCCCATATTCTACTTAAATCAGTTAAAATTGCAGTTTTAGTAAATTCCAAAAGAAATATAGAGGTACAAAATTGGGAAAGTATGGACCAGGAATTTCTAACTTCCATGGAAAACTAGGAAAAATTAACCATAAAAAAAGAAAGCACTGTTTCTGTTTATTTAAGTTTGACCTAATGGCTGAGAAGTAAGCAAAAGTCCATCATCTTTCAAGCAAATGAGCATTAAGGGAAATAGTGTGGGAATTTTTGTAACATAGCTACAATGACTATTTTCAAAACACATGGAGGAAGTTGTGTAAAACATAAATGATAAAACTAAATTAGCTAATTTACATAAAATACTTTCTTTCTTTTTTTTTTTTTTTTTTTTGAGACGGAGTTCCGCTCTTGTTACCCAGGCTGGAGTGCAATGGCGCGATCTCGGCTCACCGCAACCTCCGCCTCCTGGGTTCAGGCAATTCTCCTGCCTCAGCCTCCTGAGTAGCTGGGATTACAGGCACGCGCCACCATGCCCAGCTAATTTTTTGTATTTTTAGTAGAGACGGGGTTTCACCATGTTGACCAGGATGGTCTCGATCTCTCGACCTCGTGATCCACCCGCCTCGGCCTCCCAAAGTGCTGGGATTGCAGGCTTGAGCCACCACGCCCGGCCCATAAAATACTTTCTACCTGACACTTTTCATTTTTATTTAACTTCTGTAAAATTGATAATATATATTTTTACATCCCAGATTTGGTCAGAAAAATAAACATAACTCAGGTTTCAAGTATAATATAATAGATTAAGGCAACCTAAATTGAAAACACTTGGGTTAAGCCATCTTCACTAAAATTAGAGGACTTAAACTGACCACTTTGAGGCCGGGCACGGTGGCTCACGCCTGTAATCCCAACACTTTGGGAGGTAGAGGCGGGTGGATCACAAGGTCAAGAGATTGAGACCATCCTGGTCAACATGGTGAAACCCCATCTCTACTTAAAATACAAAAAAATAGCTGGGCATGGTGGTGCGTGCCTGTAATCCCAGCTACTCAGGAGGCTGAGGCAGAATTGCCTGAACCCAGGAGGCGGAGGTTGCGGTGAGCCAAGATCGTGCCATTGCACTCCAGCCTGGGTAACAAGACTGAAACTCCATCTCAAAAAAAAAAAAACTGACCACTTTGAGGCACAAAAGTATCTTCACAGTAGAGTTTGATCAATACTAGAAAATAATTCATAACTACTTCCCAGTCTTGTAAAAAGTTAACATTTTAACTGAAGTTTGGCTGTAATATGCAGGTACAATGAATGCGTAAATAGTGAAAATTAGTCAAGGAAGATTGACAGCCCAATTCCATTAATTCTTTTGAAAACTTGTTGCTTTTCAAAAGTTTATAGAGACATTGCAACATTGTTTGTATCAGTACAAACAAAAGACTGGTAGCCATTTACCTTTATCATCAATAGTATTCCATTTAAATTAATCATGTTATATAGCAAGTTTGCCCAACCTGCCATGGGCTGCATGTGGCCCTGGAATTCATAAACTTTCTTAAAACATAATGAGGGGTTTTTTTGTGTGATTTTTTTATTTATTTACCTATTTTTTATAGCTCATCAATTAGTGTTAGTATATTTTATGTGTGGCTTATGACAATTCTTCCATTGTGGCCCAGGGAAGCCAAAAGATTGGACACCAGTAGGGTATATGTTGGAATATGATGCAGCTTTTTTAAAAGAAAAGATGGATTTGTAGGTGATAATTTGAAAAATGTTCAAGATATTTAGTGAAAATTAAAAACTAAATATGATTAACGCGTACATTGTGATTTCGTGTCATCAAATTTAAAATGTCATTTCTGGGCCAGGCGCAGTGGCTCAAGCCTGTAATCCCAGCACTTTGGGAGGTTGAGGCGGGTGGATCATGAGGTCAAGAGATTGAGACCATCCTGGTCAACATGGTGAAACCCCATCTCTACTAAAGATACAAAAAATTAGTTGGGCATGGTGGTGTGTGCCTGTAATCCCAGCTACTCAGGAGGCTGAGGCAGGAGAATTGCCTGAACTCAGGAGGCGGAGGTTGCGGTGAGCCGAGATCGCGCCATTGCACTCCAGCCTGGGTAACAAGAACGAAACTCTGTCTCAAAAAAAAAAAAAAAAAAGTCATTTCTGGCAGGAGGGTTGGGGTTTGAATGTAGAAACCTTCATTTTTCATTTTGCGTCTTTAGCTACTGTTTGAATTTATAAACAGCATTTACCTCTTAGACAGTTTTTATTATCATTCACTTTGAAAAGATTTGAAATTTTATTGTAATTTATTCTTTGTCCCAGGAGTTATTTTGAAGTTTTTTTGGTTTGTTGTTGTTAATTTCCACATATATAGAGATTTTTGTTTTACCTATTTGTTATGAAGCCTCTGGTCAGATGTCATGGACTGTGTGATGCTTATGCCTATGTAGTAATTGTAAACAACAGACTTTAAAATCAAAATGTCTGAGTTTAAATTCCTACACTAACTTAATAGTGTAATTTGGGCATTATCATATCTGGGCCTTATTTTCTTCACCTGTGAAATGGGATGGTAATAGTTACCTACTTCATAGGCTTGTGTGAAAAAATGAGCAAATATATGTAAATGCTTAGGATAGTGTCTGGCACTTAGGAAGCCCTATATGAGTTTGCCGCTCCTGTTACTGCTGTTACTGCACTACTATTATTCAAAATTTACTGAGACCTACTTTTTTTGACCTAATACTGAATTTTATAAATATATTCTACTTGTTCAACACAGAATTTTGTACTTGATGGATCAAGCTTGTTAATATGAAGTCAGCTTGCTTTTTTTTTTTTTTTGGACACAGTGTCTCGCTCTGTCACCCAGGCCGGAGTGCAGTAGCACTATCTTGACTTACTGCAGCCTCAGCCTCCTGGGTTCAAGCGATTCTCCTGCCTCGGCCTCCTGAGTAGCCGGGATTACAGGTGTGCATCACCACCTGGCTAATTTTGTATTTTTAGAAGAGACAGTGTTTCTCCATGTCTTTTTCTTATTGATTTGTAATTGCTGTTTTCTTTTTTCTTTTTCTTTTTTTTTTTTGAGATGGAGTTTTACTCTCTCGCTTAGGCTGGAGTACAATAGCACAATCTTGTCTCACTGCAGTCTCTGCCTCCCAGGTTCAAGCAATTCTCCTGCCTAAGCCTCCTGAGTGTTTGGGATTACAGGTGTCCACCACCACACCCAGCTAATTTTTATATGTTTGGTAGCGACAAGGTTTCACCATGTTGGCCAGGCTGGTCTCGAACTCCTGACCTCAGGTGATGTACCTGCCTCAGCCTTCCAAAGTGCTGGGATTACAGGCTTGAGCCACCACACCCAGCTTGCTATTTTCATATGAAGAATAGCAACCTTTTGTCATGGCTTGCAAATATTTTTTTTTTTTTTGAGACAGAGTTTCGCTCTTGTTACCCAGGCTGGAGTGCAATGGCGCGATCTCGGCTCACTGCAACCTCCGCCTCCTGGGTTCAGGCAATTCTCCTGCCTCAGCTTCCTGAGTAGCTGGGATTACAGGCACTCACCACCATGCCCAGCTGATTTTTTTGTATTTTTTAGTAGAGACGGGTTTTCACCATGTTGACCAGGATGGTCTCGATCTCTTGACCTCGTGATCCACCCGCCTTGGCCTCCCAAAGTGCTGGGATTACAGGCATGAGCCACCCCGCGCCCGGCCGCAAATGTTTTTTTTGAAGTTAGTCTTGTGCGCGCGCGCGCGCGCATGTGTGTGTGTGTGTGTGTGTGTGTGTGTGTGTGTGTGTGTGTAAATTCTTTTTACATTTTAATCCCTTGTGTACTCAGTTTTTCTAAAGACTGTAACCTTCTGGTTATGGACAGATTTCCTGAAACTGCTAAGCTATTAAATCGTAACATTTTTAGTCAATGTAAATTAAAATCAGTGGAAAAAAAAAATTCATGGCAAAGGATGTCAGTATGATTTATAGATTTTGAGTTTTCTTTCTTAGACATTCTTTGTATCATAAACTTTCTCAGTTCTTTTGGGGGGAAATAGTCTAGTCTCAAACATAAAATGAAGTTTTAGTATGGTAAAAGACCCACTTTTACCGACCTTGTTCGATTTTTTCAGAGAAGATACTACATTATATTCTTTTATCCTCTATAAATGAGCAAAACTTGTTTTGTTAGTTTTGGAAGAATATCCTAAGATTTTAAGTGTTACCTTCTTTTCTTCACAGTGTGATATTTAAATACAACCTGTGGGTTTTTTTATACTGCACAGAAAGCTACAGTTTATATAGACATAGGACTTGTGAGGGAGGCCCAAATGATCCTTTTCCATGTTTTTGTAGGACAAATGAAAAGAACCAAATGTGCCGACATCGATGTTGAGACACCGGACTCCATTCTGGTTAATACAAATCTGCGAGCACTGATCAACAAGCACACATTTTCAGTCCTTCCTGGAGACTGCCAACAGCGACTGCTTTTACTGCTCCCAGAGGTAGATCGACAGGTGCGTCACTGAACTCCTTAAGATTTTTAAACAGCTGTTTATGTATACTTGTAAAGTGGTATTAATGGTACTAAGTGAGAAGTAAGAATATTTTTACCTAAGTTTCTTAATAGGTGGGCTTCATAAGGCTTCTGAAGAAAAGGAAAAAATTCTCCTACCAGAATTTCAACATTACAGAATTAATTTGACTGAATTAGGATGTAAGATATCCATAGAATGAAATTCAGGAGGAGGGCCAGATGTGATGGCTTATGCCTATAATCCCAGCACTTTGGATGGCCAAGGAGGGCGAATCACCTGAGGGTCAGGAGTCGAGATCAGCCTGGCCAACATGGTAAAATGTCAAGAATAAGCCAAAAACATGGGTCCAGATAAATAAATACAGCTAGAAAGACAGTACAACATGGTATAACAGTGGTGTACTTAGGAATGTTTGCTGTTTGCATTTTTGTTACATTTTTCTAAGAAAAACATTTATAACTTTCATAATAAAGAAAACCCAGTGTAAGTTACGCTTTAAAAAAAACAAAAGTAGGCCGGGCGCGGTGGCTCAAGCCTGTAATCCCAGCACTTTGGGAGGCCGAGGCAGGTGGATCACAAGGTCAAGAGATCGAGACCATCCTGGTCAACATGGTGAAACCCTGTCTCTACTAAAAATACAAAAAATCAGCTGGGCATGGTGGCACGTGCCTGTAATCCCAGCTACTCAGGAGGCTGAGGCAGGAGAATTGCCTGAACCCAGGAGGTGGAGGTTGCGGTGAGCTGAGATTGCGCCATTGCACTCCAGCCTGGGTAACAAGAGCGAAACTCCGTCTCAAAAAAAAAAAAAAAAAAAAAAGTAGCAAAAAGAAATGCCAAAGGTTTGGCAAGCATCAAGGCAGGGACCAGAGAGATTTAGTGATTTAGCTTGGTCAGGAATAAAGTAAAAGTCTGAGACTCTGGCTTTCATCAATGAAAACGGTATACCAAGTCACTTCCCCTTCTGATCTTCTGTTTCCTCCTCTGTAAAAGGAAGATAGAACAATTATGATTTGTTAAGCTTTCTTCACTTCTGAGATTTTTAAAAAATGTATTATTTCCAAATACCAACTATGTTCTAAGTAATGTGATAGGTTCCCCCAACCCCCAACTTTTAAGAATTTTTATTAAAATGATGAAAGAGTTATTTTCCTTAGTTTACAGTAAAAGGACTATTATACTCTCTTGTTCATAGTAAGAGGATAATAGAGAATAAGCTACAGAATTCATTATTAGCTAATTGACTCATAAAGTTAAAACTAAGTCTTTGTAATTCTGAAAATCATCTTTCTACTAGAAACTACCTTGATATCAATTTCGTAGTGCTATGAATCAGAACATGTCAAAGAAGTTCAGAGTCCATTGTCCAGAGAGTGCAAATAAATGAGATATTCTTACAGCAGTAGGGACAAAGAAGTAGTCCTTCTCGGTGACTGTTTTCCCTATTTTAACTCTTCTTGGAGAAATTACAGCATTGAGGATGCCAGTTCTTGGTTAGGACAAGTTAGGAGACTGAAGTTTCAGCAGTTCTAAGAGAACCTCTTGAAGATTGCTCTCATCTTGTTTTTTTGTTTTGTTTTTTTAAGACTCAAGGTTGTTGGACTGGGAATACTAGTACAGGACCCAATATGAGGGCCTGGTTATGGAATTCTAATGCTGTTTCCTCAGAACTATCTTTTGACTGATATCCTTTATCAACCTCTGAGTCTTGAGGATTGCCACATACAATTTTAGAATTAAAAGGAATCTTGGAGGTTTTCTAGTTCATTTTCCCATAGAGTGCAATCCTGGAGGGATATTCTTAATAGGAGGTTACTTGGCTAGTCTTTTTCAGTTGTTAATATGGTTGGAGCCCACATTAATCTGAGTAATATTGTCCTTGTTAATATGGTTGGAGCTCACATTAATCTGAGTAATATTGTCCTTATGTGTAGAGAATATGGAATTTCGATTAAGTGAAATACAAACTATTGTCAGATGAAATTTAGAATGTTTAAAGAATTCTAATTGTCACTAGAATGAAAAGTTGGAAGTCATACGTCAGTGTGTGGAATATCTAGCAATGAGCAGTAGAAAAATATTTAGACCAGAGAAAAACATAGGTTTGGATGAAAACACCTCTCTTTCAATATATTTGAAGGCCCATGATATAGAAGAGGTAAACTTTGTTTTACAGAAAGCAGATTTAGGGTTAAAATAACTTTTTTACAATTGGAGAATTAAACTGCAGAATAGATTGGCTTATAGTGGAGTAACTTGCTTTATCACTGGAATACTCAAGTGGAGGCTGGATTAACTGCTCTTATAGGGAACTCCATTACCCTTGTACCAATTCTCTAGAGTATGAATCAGCAGTCAGCAAACTATAGCCCACTAGGCAATTTCTAGCTGACCGCCTAATTAATAAAGTTTTATTAGGCCGGGCGCAGTGGCTCAAGCCTGTAATCCCAGCACTTTGGGAGGCCGAGGTGGGTGGATGATAAGGTCAAGAGATCAAGACCATCCTGGTCAACATGGTGAAACCCCGTCTCTACTAAAAATACAAAAAATTAGCTGGGCATGGTGGCGCGCGCCTGTAATCCCAGCTACTCAGGAGACTGAGGCAGGAGAATTGCCTGAACCCAGGAGGCGGAGGTTGCGGTGAGCCGAGATCACGCCATTGCACTCCAGCCAGGGTCACAAGAGCGAAACTCCGTCTCAAAAAAATAAAATAGCCGGGCGCGGTGGCTCAAGCTTGTAATCCCAGCACTTTGGGAGGCTGAGGCGGGCGGATCACAAGGTCGAGAGATCGAGACCATCCTGGTCAACATAGTGAAACCCCGTCTCTACTAAAAATACAAAACATTAGCTGGGCATGGTAGTGCATGCCTGTAATCCCAGCTACTCAGGAGGCTGAGGCAGGAGAATTGCTTGAACCCAGGAGGCGGAGGTTGCGGTGAGCCGAGATCGTGCCATTGCACTCCAGCCTGGGTGACAAGAGCGAAACTCCGTCTCCAAAAAAAAAAAATAAATAAAATAAAATAAAATAAAATAAAATAAAGTTTTATTGACTTAAAGCCACTCCTGTTAGTTTTCATATTGTCCATAGCTACTTTTGTGCTACAGTGGCAGAGTTGAGTAGCTGAAATCAAGCCATATTGCCTGCAAAATTTAAGTATTTGTGGTCTATCCCTTAATAGAAAGTGTACCAATTTCTGCTGTAGAACCATGGGGAAATGCTGTCAACCCACATAGGCTTAGAAAGTTAAGTGGGTTAAGAAGAGTTCCTCAGTCTTAAGGATGTCCAAATCATTTTCTTAATTTTCTTCAAAAGGAACTATTTTTGACTTAAAATTGACATTTAGATTTTTAATTCATCATCTTTTTTTTTTTTAATCTGAATCTGGGATTCAGTTTTATTTTCTACTGGGTGAATAGCCAGTAGAAATAGTTGTTCCAGCATTCTATGTGTGGTTCTGTGAGTAGATCTTTAATTGTTAGGGAATGGACGTGAATGGAGAGAAAGGAGTGAGGAAAGGTAAATAGGAAAGGAATGTAATACACATACATTCTTTTCTAAAATGAAAGGGAAGTCAAATACTACATGATACCTTTCACTTTCTTTGTAAGCTTTCCTTGGCTTATTCTTTGACCCAGGTTGGTCCAGATGGTTTAATGAAGTTAAATGGCTCAGCCCTTAACAATGAGTTCTTCACTTCAGCAGCCCAAGGCTGGAAGGAAAGACTTTCAGAAGGTAAGTATTCTACCTAATGTGTCTCCCAGGCGGTGTGTGCACTCGGAGCACCTCTCTTCTTCATCAGGTAATTAAGCAATTTTGGAAGGTAAAGGACAGGATGTTTCTATAGGATAGAATTAGCTATCCTTTGTGAAACACGTTATTAGACTTCTATCTGGAGCCTGTGTAACCAGATTAACACCAGATGGAGTCCAGCAAAATGCTTCTTTAATGATATAAAGTCTTCTAAGAAAATAAAAATACAGATTTTGGGGCCCTGTTCCTAAAGACTCTGATTCAGCAATTCTACATTAATGCCTAGGAATTGAAGTTTCAGTAGGCTCCCTAATAAGAGTATAGAATTAGTCATTTTATGGTGCTTTGCATCCCAGTTCGGTAAGCAATGAAATAACCTGTTTATCACTGCCTAGCCTTAATGAAACTAATAGTAAAAGGAATCAGTGAGAACTTGTAAAAAGATCACTTCATTGAGGTATATTTCATATAACATAAAATTCAGCCATTTGAAATGTACAGTTAATTGGCAGTCAAAACATTTTAGTAAGTATGGATCATGACGTAGAATTACTGACTACAATCACTGGTCTGCCATGTGTGCCGTGCTTCTGATGACTGACTGTGTGTAGGCACTGCATGTAGTGTCTGTCATTACTAGTAGTTCTTCATCTCTACTATTGAAAAACACCTGTGATGTTTTTAAAAATACTGATGTACAGACACCACTGTCAATTATTTTGTTTTTATTGCTCTGGATTAGTGTCTGAACTTTACTAGTTTTCTTTTTTCTTTTTTTTTTTTTTTTAAAGGTATCATGAAAATTTTATTTGTATAAAGTTAGGTCTAAAAGTTTTATTTGCAGATATTATCATGAGGGAGTAATCTCTAGACATTTTTGCCTTCCTGGCCTATTTGTAAGGGAGAGAACTGAATCAAGAAAACAAGCAGAGCTTGAATACACATTGCCATTTTTGAAAGGACCAGGAATTCAGAACTTGAAAGAATTGGAGTTCTTTCCTTAATTACACTTGGGAGTTTTGCTCTCGGGACCCAGAAATGAATGTGAGTTCCTCTTCCGTAGGAGTCCAGTCTAATACTAGACATAGATGGTAATAAGCACAGGCAGTGTGACGGAAATCGGTGGTGTGAAGGTGAAGTGAAGAGACCCAGAATTCATGGTTGATATTTTCCACTGAGGGGCCAGCATGGGTTTTATGCAGAATCGAAGACATTTGAGATTTCATTTTGGGTTAATAGGATACTGTAACCTTGGTAGTAAGTCAAGTCTTCATCATCTGGTTTAGGGGATGAATCCACACACAGTTCGTGGAAAATGTTCTTCTTTTATGACTATACTGGTTTTGTTTTGTTTCCATTGGAAGGTCTAGGTTAAAGGCTCTGACACTTTGTTGGGGACACACCATGAACAATGCTTAGTTGACAGGACCCTCGTGCTGCCGAGGAAGTCAAGCTCCTGGCTGCTTCTGGTACCAGAGAGGGAAGTTGGTCAGGAGTGGGTTCAGGCGCCCTCTGGTGGCACCAGAGCTCATCACAGACACTCTTGCTCAGTCTCTTGGTGGACACGCACCCCGGCATGGCTGTCCTGAAATACGTGGAGGAGGCCCAGAGTTGTCCCAAAGGGAGGCTGTGCCCGCTAGGTCTATGCTGTGGATGACGCAGCTCCGCCATCACGCTGCCGCAGGGATCCACTGAGAGAAAGCGACCTAGTTTTCTTTTTTCAAAGTTTTCCCTAACGATTCTAATATGCAGCCATAAGTAAAACCACTGGCTGAATTATTTTTATTACATCTGTTTTTCAGTATACATAGAATAAAAAGTAGCACTTGAAAAGTCATATACCACCGGGCGCGGTGGCTCAAGCCTGTAATCCCAGCACTTTGGGAGGCCGAGGTGGGTGGATCACGAGGTCAAGAGATCGAGACCATCCTGGTCAACATGGTGAAACCCCGTCTCTACTAAAAATACAAAAATTAGCTGGGCATGGTGGCGTTTGCCTGTAATCCCAGCTACTCAGGAGGCTGAGGCAGGAGAATTGCCTGAGCCCAGGAGGCGGAGGTTGCGGTGAGCCGAGATCGCGCCATTGCACTCCAGCCTGGGCAACAAGAGCGAAACTCCGTCTCAAAGAAAAAAAAAAAAAAGAGAAAAGTCATATACCAAAGAATAGCCTAAAACAAGTGTGAGAGACTCTAAAATATATACATTTGTAAAGAGCACATTAGGAATGCTATGCAATGCTTATTTTCTGTCAGATCCCTAACAATTCGAGTTAAATGAATAGCTAATAAATTAATCTAGGTTGTTTCTTGAAGTTGTTGACTTTTTCCCATCCGCTTCTTTTAGAGGAAGTTCTATGTAGAAGGGATCTCTTGCTCTGATTACTTTGGTCCTTTATTTTTCCTATAGGTTTTTTGAGGCAGAGACACCCCCCCCCCAGCCATTTTTTTTTTCCAGAAACATTAAAACATACCAGTTACCAATACCTTTCTTTAAGAATAAATTGGTAAAGGATTTACCTCCTCAGCCCCCACTTTTTTGTAAGTAGGCACTGTCAGCAGTGATACTACAGTTATTATCAGTGTTACATTTTTTTTAACATGCAAGCAGTGACTGCTATACCTATAGTCATGTGATCGTATTTTATGAGCAACAAAAACTTGGAACACCGTACGTATGTGAACAGAGTTCAATACATTTTATTCCTTATTTTCGGATACACAGTAGACTCAACATCAGAAGTTCTGGGTTGGTTTCTGAAAGCTAAATCCCTCTTTTCCCAATCCTTTGCCCACGACTGTGATGTTCACAGTCCTCTAACAATACTTTTCCTTTCCTTCTTCTCACCCCCAGGAGGTCTTAAACTTCAAATTCTGCCATTTCTACCTTTTATTCCTTGATGTCCTGGGTATTAGAGTATAAAAGGGAGCAGCCTATCTGAGACACAAGTTTGAAGATGGCCTACCAAGCACATTCACTGTTGTCTGCTGATGGAGTGGGAAGGATTGAGGTGGTTGGTAGCATATGCAAATAAATGGCATATTCAGAGCAGCTGGGTTTTTCACATGTTGAGTACCTTCTTGCTAGAGCATTAGCCTGGTACAGTTTCTAGAACAATTAGAAAACTGACAACTCAAAAATAACTCCCCCCTACCTTTTTATGGGAATCTCAAATGCTTTTAAGTCGGGCCACAGCTTTTCTTTATGCAGTTAGAGGTAGAAGGCCTAAAATTAAGTTGCCTTGGAGAAACTGAACTTTAAAATAGTAAAAATGTCTAGTGGTGTAGTTTATTGAAAACACATCACTTTTTTTTTTTTTTTAGTGGAAAATAAATTGGAAGTTCAAAGTAAGAAATAAAATAAATCTGTATGGAATGTGATGTTTGGAGCTTGAGGAAGGTACCACAGGGAAGCCCCGGGGAAAAGGCTCTGTCAGCCTCAGATGAGTACTGAAAGCTACATGGAGTGGTGTGCAAACACTTTTATTTCACCTAGTGGCATTTAGGTCCTCCTTTACAGTGAGGAGCTTTGGGAAGTTTTGGTTACTTTCACATGTTAGTATTCTGATTCCTGCATGAGTCTTTCATGATTTATAAAGAGTTACATGTGTGTTGCAAATAGCATTTTTCCATTGAATATCCTTTTTTGGGTACATTACAGGTGAGTTTACACCTGAGATGCAGGTGAGAATTCGGCAAGAGATTGAGAAGGAGAAAAAAGTGGAGCCATGGAAAGAACAATTCTTTGAAAGCTACTATGGGCAGAGGTAATATTAGGACAGGTTCTATAAACCAAATGTTATTTCTTGCATATATGTCATGTAGTGCTTTATCTCATTACCTTAACAGAAAATCTAGGCCCTAGTTTACTTCTGGTTTTTTTGTCTCACCGATTCTTCTTTAGGGAGTTTTTTTTCTTATTATAAATCACAGGTTCACAGAATTAGATTACTCATAATCCTTTACCCTTATAACTGTCATTGTAGGTGAGATGGTTTCTTTAAAAATAAATTTTTAAAAAAATCTTGAATTAAGAGTTCTGTTCTTTGAAAAGATTGGCTTTTCTTCTGGTTACTTTATAAGACAGAAGAATACTGAAGTTCCTTTTTTTTTGAGATGGAGTTTCCCTTTTGTTGCCCAGGCTGGAGTGCAATAGCATGATCTTAGGCTCACTGTAACCTCTGCCTCCCAGGTTCAAGCAATTCTCCTGCCTCAGCCTCCCAAGTAGCTGGGATTATAGGCACGCACCACCATGTCTGGCAAATTTTGTATTTTTAGTAGAGATGCGGTTTTACCATGTTAGCCAGGCTGGTCTAGAACTCCTGACCTTAGGTGATCTGCCTTCCTTGGCCCCCAAAGTACTGGGATTACAGACAGGCCACTGCACCCGGACAGAATACTGAGGTTCTGTCCACTCTTTATAGTAGCTAATTATCCCAAAATGTAGCTATCCAGAATCACTACGGAATCTTAGGAATTTTGTAACATGGACTATTAGAACTAACCTGTGATTAAACAGCCTCTCCTCTTTAAAAGGCATGCTGGGAGATGTACATAGCTGAATCAAGAGATAAATTCTGTTTAAAAGGGGCTGTAGCCTAAATCAGTTTTTTCCCCCAATAAAAGGTCCAACAATGAAATTGTAATGGGACATTTAAATAGATAGTAGTGGAAATGTTTGGTTTGAAATAGGATTGAACACCTAGACTCCTACTTGTTAGTCTCCCTTCCTTCCTTCTGCACACCAGTGGCAGCCCTTAAGGAGACCCATAACCACAGCTTGAGAACTAAGCGCTCCTTTTCCTTGTCTCCAACTAGTATTTATCCATCTCCTTCACAGTCATTTAGGAAAGATTCCTCTTGAGGTTAAGAATTCCATAAGCAGCCTGACACCGTGGCTCATGCCTGTAATCCTAGCACTTTGGCAGGCCAAGGTGGGTAGATCACGAGGTCAAGAGATCAAGACCCTCCTGGCCAACATGGTGAAATCCCATCTCTACTAAAAATACAAAAATTAGCTGGGCGTGGTGGCTTGTACCTGTAGTCCCAGCTACTCTGGAGGCTGAGGCAGAAGAATCGCTTGAACCTGGGAGGCAGATGTTGCAGTGAGCAGAGATCCTGCCACTGCACTCCACCTTGGTGGCAGAGCGAGACTCTCTCAAAAAAAGGAGTTCCATAAGTTGTGGCCAAGCACAGTGACTCACACCTGTAATCCCAATGCTCTGGGAGGCTGAGGTGGATAGATCACTTGAGCCCAGCAATTTGAGACCAACTTGGGCAACCTGGCAAAACCCCATCTCTACAAAAAAATACCAGAAAATGAGCTGGGTGTAGTGGTGTGTACTTGTAGACCCAGGCTCATGTGGGAGAATCACTTAAACCTGGGAGGTGGAGGTTGCAGTGAGCCAAGATTATGCCATTGCACTCCAACCTGGACAATGAAGCGAGAGCCTATCTCAAAAAAGTTCTATAAGCTGATTTTTCTACATTTCAACTAGAATATCTTTTTTTTCCCCCCTTTTTAGTTCTGGCCTGAGCCTTGAAGATTCTAAGAAATTGACAGCTTCTCCCAGCGATCCCAAAGTAAAGAAAACCCCAGCTGAACAACCAAAATCCATGCCTGTATCAGAGGCCTCTCTTGTCAGGATAGTTCCAGTAGTCCCCCAGTCAGAGTGTAAAGAAGAAGCATTGCATACGTCATCACCAGGCAGAAAAGAAGAGTGTGAAAGCCAAGATGAAGTGCAGCCAAACTTCTCCACATCCACAGAGCCCCTGCTTTCCTCAGCTCTCAATACACATGAGCTTAGCAGCGTTCTTCCCATCAAGTGCCCAAACGATGAGGATCTCTTGGAGCAGAAGCCAGTCACCTCTGCTGAACAGGAATCTGAGAAGAATCATCTCACCATAGCTTCTAATTATAACAAAAGTGAAAGCCAAGAGTCTTTGGTTACATCGCCAAGCAAACCCATTAGTCCTGGGATGAAGCCCATAGCAGAAGCAGGTCCACAGGAGACCACTATGAAAGAACCTCTAGCATCTCTTGTTGATCAGAACCTGGAAAGCCTCAAGAGGAAGTCTTCCCTCACCCAAGAAGAGGTTCTTGTGAGCTGGGAGAAGAGGCCACGTGTCACTGAGAATCGCCAGCACCAGCAGCCATTTCAGGTCTCACCACAGCCCTTTCTCAACAGAGGGGACAGGGTCCAGGTGCGAAAAGTACCACCTCTCAAGGTAAGAGAGTGGGAAGAATTGAAAAGGAGAGATGATCTGAACCCTCTGTTTTTGGTCATACCTACCAAATTTCAAATAATGTGTGGTAGTTCTTAATGCAGAAGCAGTTAGATGTATTTGATAAGCATGTAACTATGGTCTTACACAAAAAAATGATAAACAGACATTCAGAACTGCAGTCCTACATATAGGTCTTTCCTGATGTTTGAATAAGGAAGGTACCTGGGCATCTAATGTAAACCACCCCCCTGCTCACTACTCGAGCTCAGAGGCACCTGGTCTCAGAATTTTAGATTTAGACCAAGTAGAATTTAAATGGACTTCCAAAAACTCAGTTATAATTCTCAGCCTTTATAGAACTTCTCCACAGGACCTCTTAGATTCTTACTGTCTCCACAGGACTTCTTAGATTCTTAGTGCTGGGATTACTGGTGACAGAGCAAGCTCCATCTCAAAAAAAAAAAAAAAAACTATTATGAGTTTTTTTTTTTTTTTTTAACCATTAACATACATTGTCATGTATTGCCAGAGATTCTGATTTTTGTTATAGTCACTTTTAAATATATTAGAAACTTTTCTTTAATAAATGTCATTCACAGCTTATTTCCAGACCTGAGAGCTGAGTAACTCTTTAGGTTTTGCTAAAAATGTTGTCAAGACCCATCATTTCTATTTCTTTACCTGTAAACAGGCTGGGTTGCATTATATTTTGTCTGCTTTCTGCTAGTCCAGAGAGACTATACAGAAACTTTAATCCACTGTGACCAAATTAATATAATTTTATTTTTTTCATTCTTTTCTTTTCTCCTTTCTTGTTTCCCTCAAAAAAGACTTCTCCAGAACCTCTTTGCTTAGTCCTTACCTCAAATACTGCTTTCTTAGACAAAGCTTAATGTAATTTATAATGGGACAAAACCTTTTAAACAAAATTTAAATAGAAAACAAAATTTACAATGTGGTATAAATGTTATAACTTAGTTACACACATATGTATATAAAAATTATATGGCCGAGCATGGTGGATCACGAGGTCAGGAGTTCAAGTCCAGCCTGACCAACATGGTGAAATCCCATCTCTACTGAAAGTACAAAAATTAGCTGGGCCTAGTGGTGTGTGCCTGTTTCCCAGCTACTCAGGAGGCTGAGGCAGAAGAAATTCTTTTTTTTTTTTTTTGAGACGGAGTTTCGCTCTTGTTACCCAGGCTGGAGTGCAATGGCGCGATCTCGGCTCACCGCAACCTCCGCCTCCTGGGTTCAAGCAATTCTCCTGCCTCAGCCTCCCTAGTAGCTGGGACTACAGGCGTGCGCCACCATGCCCAGCTAATTTTTGTATTTTTAGTAGAGACGGGGTTTCACCATGTTGACCAAGATGGTCTCGATCTCTTGACCTCGTGATCCACCCGCCTCGGCCTCCCAAAGTGCTGGGATTACAGGCGTGAGCCACCACGCCCGGCCCAGAAGAAATTCTTGAGCCTGGGAGGCAGAGGTTGTGGAGCTGAGATCATGCTGCTGTCCTCCAGCCTGGGCAACAGAGTAAGACTCTGTCTCAGAAAAAAAAAATTGTATACACATACATGCACATCGTATGTTTTACATTCCATATACAGTAAGCCCTCTGTATGAAGTTCCACATCGTCAAGGTTAGTACAATATTTTCAACCAACTGCCTATCGAACATATTTAGAAAAGAAAATTAAATACAAATGTAAAAATACAGTATAACAATTTATATAGCATTTACGTTGTATAGGTATTATAAGTAATCTAGAGATGACTTAAAGTATATGGGAGGATATGTATAGGTTATCTGCAAATACTATGCCATTTTATATAAAGAACTTAAGCATCTTCAGATTTGGATATCCTCCAGGGCCCTGGAACCAATCTCCCATGGATACCAAGGGATGACTGTACACTTAAAAAGAAAAGGATTGAATCTCTCTGCTCTCACAGGGTAGAGCTTCTCAGTAAATTAAATTGTTATCAGTGCCTGGACAACGTTGAGTGGTATTGCACTTAAAAAGAAGTATGATTTATTCTGCATAATCAGGTAATAGGGCTATTACATAAGTAACTGAAACTTATTTTTAGTTATTGAAACCTTTAATTTTAACCACTTTTAATGGTTAGTCTTACTTGATTTCAACATGTTATTAATGATTGTGTCATGATGATAGATATCATGTGTTATGCTAGGTATAGTGTTACTCTCAAGAGTATTCTCTTATAAAGTTGTTTGTCCCTAAATAAATTCTCCTAAACACCTTTCTTGTATTTACTTCTTTAGTTTTACCTATTTTTTCCCATTTTTTCCCCTGCAGTTTCTTTCATATGATATAAATAAAGGACAGTAACTGCTTCTTTCTTACTGTGGACAGCCTCTAAAATACTACATGCTGAGTAAATACACTATTTAGGCTTATTAGAATTGGATGTAAAATAGATATATCTCTTAGAGAGATGAAGTCCATTTCCTGATTGAAAATAGATACTTTGTGATGCCTGTTATGAAGTCCCATGGCTCTCACTTCTGAATTAGAGAGAATCAATTTTTCAGGACTACTGATCTTTGGAGAAATGAGTATTGCAAATCATTAAACATGTTTAGAGACTATATTATTCTTAAGAACATTAAGAAAAATTGCATGCATTTTCTTAGAGTTTAGTGGGTTAATTTTTTTTAATTAAATGCTTTAGAATATCTTAACAGTTATTAGCTGTTTTAAATTCAACCAGTTACTAGAAGGTCCACATTTTGATGCATTATCAAAGTATTATTCATGACAGAAGGCAGATTTGTTTCAGACTGATGATTTTATGGTATGAAAATCATGGTTTCAGCCAGGTGTGGTGGGTCACACCTGTAATCCCAGCACTTTGGGAGGCCAAGATGGGTCAATCACTTGAAGTCAGGAGTTTGAGACCATCCTGGCTAACATGGTGAAACCCTGCCTCTCTACTAAAAATTAAAATTTTTTTAAAAAGCTTGGAGTGGTGACAGACGCCTGTAATTCCAGCCACTCGGGAGGCTGAGGCACAAGACTTGCTTGAACCCAGGATGGTGGAGATTGCAGTGAGCTGAGTTTGTGCCACTGTACTCCAGCCTGGGTGACAAGAATAAGACTCTATCTTAAAAAAAGAAGAAGAAAAAGAAAATCAGTGGTTTCAAACATGACAGACATCAGAATCTCACAGTGGCTTTTTAGAAACACTTTTTTTTTGAGCTGTAGTCTCCCTCTGTTGCCCGGGCTAGAGTGCAGTGGCACAATCTCAGCCCACTGCAACCTCCCTACCTCCCGGGTTCAGGTGATTCTCCTGCCTCAGTCTCCCAAGTAGATGGGATTAGAGGCGCCTGTCACCACGCCCAGCAAATTTTTGTATTTTTAGTAGAGACAGGGTTTCGCCATGTTAGCCAGGCTTTTTCAGGCTGGGTGCAATGGCTCATGCCTGTAATTCCAGCACTTTGGGAGGCCAAGGCAGGTGGATCACATGAGGTCAGGAGTTTCAGACTAGCCTGGCCAATATGGCGAAACCCCATCTCTACTAAAAATACAAAAATTAGCCAGAGGTGGTGTCACACACCTGTATTCCCAGCTAATCGGGTTGCAGAGGCACAAGAATCACTTGAACCCAGGAGGCAGAGGTTGCAGTGAGCCAAGATCACACCACCGCACTCCTGCCTGGGTGACAGAGCAATACCCTGTCTAAAAAAAGAAAAAAAATTCCTAAGGTCCTGGGGGTTCTAATTTGTACATTTTGGGATAGGACCCAGAGCATGTATATATATATATATATTTTTTTTTTTTTGAGGCGGAGTTTCGCTCTTGTTACCCAGGCTGGAGTGCAATGGCGCGATCTCGGCTCACCGCAACCTCCACCTCCTGGGTTCAGGCAATTCTCCTGCCTCAGCCTCCTGAGTAGCTGGGATTACAGGCACACACCACCATGCCCAGCTAATTTTTTGTATTTTTATTAGAGACGGGGTTTCACCCTGTCGACCAGGATGGTCTCGATCTCTCGACCTTGTGATCCACCCGCCTCGGCCTCCCAAAGTGCTGGGATTACAGGCTTGAGCCACCGCGCCCGGCAAGCATGTATATTTTTAAAAGGTTGCTCAAGTAAATATAATACCAGCCAGAGATGAGAATGGCTGGTAAACATTATGTACATACTCCCTTATGTGTGTGGGCATTGTGGGGGCTCCTATAGATCACACATTGTCTTCCTTCCAGTGCTGTCTAGAAGCCTGTGTAAATTGAGATAATCCAGCCCAACTCTGTGTGCGTGTGTGTATGTGTGTAGAACAGAGAAGAGCAAGTATTTTCCTTTGGACCTTGGTAGTAAAGCTAAGAAGTAAAAGAAAAAAGCTAAGAAGTGTTATGGGTGGCAGGCTTGCTTTTCTCTTCTTTCTCAAACATAGACACACTTTTTAAAAATACAAAGACCAGGCCAGGTGCGGTGGCTCACGCCTGTAATCCCAGCACTTTGGGAGGCCGAGGCGGGTGGATCACGAGGTCGAGAGATCGAGACCATCCTGGTCGACAGGGTGAAACCCCGTCTCTAATAAAAATACAAAAAATTAGCTGGGCATGGTGGTGTGTGCCTGTAATCCCAGCTACTCAGGAGGCTGAGGCAGGAGAATTGCCTGAACCCAGGAGGCGGAGGTTGCAGTGAGCTGAGATCGCGTCATTGCACTCCAGCCTGGGTAACAAGAGCGAAACTCCGTCTCAAAAAAAAAAAAAAAAAGCAAAGACCATAGGAAGCTTTGTATCATAATGAGCACTTGTAATAGTAACATTATGAGGATGTTGAGGTTGAAAACAGGCATGGGGATTTGGGGGGAGAGCAGAAGCAGTCATCTTTGGCACCAATAATAGAAAAAGTGGATGTAAGGACCCTAGAGACAAATTGGTGTTACTGTCTCCAAGGTTTGACCTCTCAGCCATAGACCTCCCATGTTTGTCACAGGTACTGTAGTGTTCATCTGTTTTTAAAGTATGAGGGCTAATGCAGTTTTGTTATTCTTATAAATGAAAACTAAGCTCTGTTGTTTTTTCCCCTCTACTTTTTTCAGATCCCGGTCTCCAGAATCTCCCCAATGTCATTTCATCCATCGCAGGTCTCTCCCAGGGCTCGTTTTCCAGTCTCCATCACTAGTCCTAACAGAACAGGAGCCAGAACTCTTGCAGACATCAAAGCAAAAGCCCAACTGGTCAAAGCACAGAGGGCAGCAGCTGCAGCTGCCGCCGCAGCTGCTGCAGCCGCCTCAGTTAGAGGGACCATTCCAGGACCTGGGCCAGGGGGTGGACAAGGTCCAGGAGAGGATGGTGAAGGGCAGACTGCTAGAGGAGGCAGTCCAGCCTCAGACAGAGTCAGTGAAGCCGGAAAGGGCTCCACACTGGAACTGGCAGGAACTGGAAGCAGGGGAGGTACGAGAGAGCTTTTACCCTGTGGTCCAGAGACTCAGCCCCAGTCTGAGACCAAGACCACCCCAGGCCAGGCACAGCCTCATAGTGTCTCTGGAGCACAACTACAGCAAACCCCCCCAGTGCCTCCAACACCTGCCGTCAGTGGAGCATGCACAAGTGTCCCATCACCAGCCCACATAGAGAAGTTGGATAATGAAAAACTGAACCCCACCAGGGCAACAGCCACAGTGGCCTCTCTCAGCCATCCACAGGGGCCCAGTAGTTGCAGACGGGAGAAAGCACCTTCTCCTCCAACAGGTCTTGCTCTAATCTCAGGTGCCTCACCTGTTCATTTTGCAGCTGACGGCATAGTTGAGCTCAAAGCAGGTCCCAGTAAGAATATACCTAACCTTTCAGCTTCATCAAAGGCAGACACTAGTGTGCCAGTGGCTGTAACTCCCTCCCCTTTAACATCTTTGTTGACCACAGCCACTTTAGAAAAGCTTCCTGTACCCCAGGTCAGTGCAACTACAGGACCTGCCGGATCAGCTCCACCCTCGAGCACTTTGCCAGCAGCCTCTAGCCTTAAAACCCCAGGAACTTCTTTAAACATGAATGGACCCACTTTGAGACCAACCTCTAGTATCCCTGCTAATAATCCTTTAGTGACTCAGCTGCTTCAAGGCAAAGATGTTCCCATGGAGCAAATTCTGCCTAAACCTCTCACCAAAGTTGAAATGAAAACAGTTCCACTGACTATGAAAGAGGAAAGGGGGATTGGAGCACTCATAGGTACCAACACAACAGAAAATAGCACCAGAGAAGAAGTTAATGAGAGACAGTCACATCCAGCTACACAGCAGCAGCAGCAGCTGGGCAAAACTTTGCAAAGTAAGCAGCTCCCCCACGTTCCAAGACCTCTTCAGCTCTTTTCAGCTAAGGAGCTGAGGGACTCTAGCATTGACACACACCAGTACCAGGAAGGACTAAGTAAAGCAACCCAAGATCAGATCCTTCAGACTCTCATTCAGAGGGTTCGGAGGCAGAATCTTCTCTCAGTTGTGCCACCCTCGCAGTTCAACTTTGCTCACTCAGGTTTCCAGCTGGAAGACATCTCCACAAGCCAGAGGTTCATGCTGGGTTTTGCTGGCAGAAGGACATCCAAACCTGCAATGGCAGGGCACTACTTACTGAATATTTCTACCTATGGCCGGGGCTCAGAGAGCTTTAGGAGGACCCATTCCTTAAACCCTGAAGACCGTTTTTGTCTAAGCAGCCCCACTGAAGCCTTGAAAATGGGATATACGGACTATAAAAATGCAGCAGGAGAGAGCAGCAGCAGCAAAGAAGATGACACTGAGGAGGAAAGTACTGGTGATGAGCAGGAATCTGTCATGGGGAAAGAGGAGCCCCAGGTTTCCCAGAGTACTGGCAGAGGTGATGCAAGTTCAGCACCCCACAGCAGGGAAACTCTATCTACCAGTGATTGCTTAGCTAGCAAGAATGTGAAGGCTGAGATACCAGTGAATGAGCAAACCACTCTAAGTAAGGAGAATTACCTGTTCACTAGAGGTCAAACATTTGATGAAAAGACCCTAGCCAGAGATTTAATTCAGGCAGCACAGAAGCAGATGGTTCATGCAGTAAGAGGTAAGACAGTGCGTAGCAGCCCGGAGCTTTTCAATTCTACCGTTCTTCCTCTGCCTGCAGACAGCCCCACCCACCAGCCTCTGCTCCTCCCACCCCTGCAAACCCCGAAGTTGTATGGAAGCCCCACTCAGATAGGGCCAAGCTACAGAGGCATGATCAATGTCTCCACCTCATCTGACATGGACCATAACTCTACTATACCAGGTAGCCAGGTATCTAGCAATGTAGGTGATGTCATGTCATTTTCAGTGACTGTCACTACCATCCCTGCTACCCAAGCTATGAATCCCAGCAGCCATGGCCAGACCATTCCTGTTCAGGCCTTCCCTGAAGAGAACAGCATAGAGGGCACGCCTTCGAAATGTTACTGCCGCTTGAAAGCCATGATCATGTGCAAAGGGTGTGGAGCTTTCTGCCACGATGATTGCATTGGCCCCTCCAAACTGTGCGTCTCCTGCCTTGTCGTTCGGTAAGGAGACTAGAAAGAGACACACTGTAAAGGAGGGGGAAGGGAAGGGTTGACCAGTTTGGTTTTGTGTTTTGTTTTGTTTTGTTTTGCTTTTGGTGTTTTTGCGTCCTTTTGGAATCACAGAAATGAACAAGTAGGTTTCAGTTGTCTTCAGAGACAAATGTTACTTAATCAGGAATACAAAGTACATTATAGAGGAAGAGCACCTTGTGTAGTAAGTCTGAGTCAAGCAAGACTTTGTGAATTTGTGACAAGTTTGCACTTACAAAATCATGTAAATATGTCACATTTTTTTAAACATTATTTTCCAAGTGTTTAGGTAATAATGTATTACTTTGAATTCAGATTTATGTTCTACTACTTGTGACTCTGAGAAAAATTTAATGCCAGCATGGTGAAAGGAAGCTGTCTCCCTTCTGACATTTCCTAGGAAGCTAGGAAAAGGAAAGTGAAGGAATGACCATTCACACTGATTGTGTCTGGACAGTCTGACCACAGGTTATTCCTAGATTATTCAGCCTTTGCAGGACTTGGATTCAGGGCTTACTCAGTCCCTTTACCTTAGGTGGAATCTTCTTGAGTTGAAATTTTTGGCAAGGTATTCATTTCACAGGTAGTGTTTCAGACTCTCAAAGCCCTGACTTGGTTCTTGACTTCCATGGACTAGTACTGTTGCCAAGCACTCTGCTTGGAATTTGTGGATCCCTGCTGCTCCCTAATTGCACCCCCTGCCCTGAGACAGTGAATGTAGTCTGTGAAGGGAGTACCTCTCTGGGACCCCCTGTATTATTATAGGCTGTGCAGTGCAACAATTCCAACAAAAACATCCTGTCCCTGCACTTACTCATTTGCAGTATAACTGTTTTTAAGTACTAATAGAAAATGAACAGGGAAGTGTTAGTGATTGGGTGATTTGACCTACATCTTGTTGAGCAAGGAGAGTGAAACCACAGAAACTGTCAAATTGAATGTAAAGAACTTCGGAAAACAATTTTGACACTAAAACGAGGTAGCTTCTCTTTTCCTCTTCTCTCCCAACCTATGAACCTAGTGCTCTGTAGTCAGCTGTTACAAGTAGAAAAGCTCACCAGTGCCACGTTTGTTCATTCTGTTCAACCTGTTAGACCTCCCAGGCATCTGAACATGATGACATAATCTTATTATATCTTACTTTACACATACGTGTATGTGCACATGCAGACACAGTACAAGACACTTTTCCTGCTTTAGAAAATATGTTTCCTGTTTGAATTACTGCTGTCTGAGCATTAGAAATTTCTAATGTAAAGGGGTCTTAGTGAATGGCTAAGGGAACATCTGGAAAGGAAGAAAAATTTTTTTGCCCCGAAGTTTTTTTATTTGTTTTTGTTTCTTTTTCCTTCTTGTTTCCTTTTTTTTTTTTTTTTTTTTTAATCCTTCTCTAGTGATTGAAGAATTTGTGAGTACATAATATTTAGAGCATGGTTAAGGAACAGTAAAATAAACCTGCAGTTTACCAGAATTTTGTATTAAATGGGCGGGTGTCAATTTGCATCATTTGCATGTTGATTTCAAGTCTCCTGATTTGGAATGTGTAAAGTACAAATGTTAGTGCAACATAGTACAGTTGTATTTGTCATTCATATTCAGGATGTGATATTTACAAAATGCAAAGCAGTTTAAACTTGTTAAGTCACATTCCAGATCAGGAGAAAATAGGCAATAATCTCTGTTTTGCCCCCATTCTACTACCCACCTCTGCTCACCGCACCCCAACATCACAAACTCTTTAATGCTTTCCCACAGTCCCTACTCTGCCCCTAAGAAACTCCCTGTTTTTCACTTTTCACTTCTGGCTTTTTTGTGGCCCAAAGCCAATATAGGATTAATATCTGTGTTCCAGCTTCAGTCAGGACAATATGTTCTTCCATCTTTACGCCTTTCTTCCACCACACACACAGCTAAGAGATAAGAAGACTGCAAGGATCGGGGATAAGGAGTATATTTTCAAGCCAAGAACCAGTAGGAAACAGAAATCATGGTGCTCCCAAACGTTCAGGCAATCCAAGATGAGTTTAAAGAGACCTGTTGCTGAGTAGAACTCTCCCTGCCCCACCCACCCCTTCACTCCACCATAGTCCCAGGGCTGAGGGCTGGTCTGCATGCTGGAAGAGGTTGAGAGTTTCAGAATTGACTGCATGCTAAATGTCAGTTACCAATTTGGATTGATGAAAGTAATTTTTCTGCTTTACTCCTTTCCTATTGGAAAGGTTTTTCTCTGTGGTTCCCTTAACTTGAGGATGAGCAGACTATAACCAGGAAAGGAGGAAAGTTATCAGGGATTTTTAAGTTCGTTTAGAGAGCAAACCATATTGTGCCTCTCCATCTTGACCCAGGCTATTATAGATAGGTCCTAAACATTGCTCTTCACCAGATTATCTTAACAAATAATACTCAGCTAAATATTTGCATTTAGGAATACTCCTAAAACAGATATTGCCATCTAGATACACTGCCTCAATCTTGACCAGATGAGAGAACAGTTAAATTCTCTTAGATGAGTAGTAAAATTGAACACCAATCTATTTATTAGTTTGTTTCAACACAGAGGTTTCCGGTGGAAAGCAATTATTCTTATAAGCTGAACAGAAAAAAAATTACAATCTGACCTTTTAGAAAATGAAGCAGTAGAAACAAGAAAACCTTTAAATTAATAGTATGGTACTCTAACAGCACATTTAAAGTAATCTTTACCTTAGTTTTTGAATTGTTTTACCTTTCAGCTCAATCTGAAAAGTTTTAATAAATGCTGAGCTTATTCTTAGGGTATGACCTGGCATTATTTCCAGTGACTTGTCAGGCATTATGTCTGATGCATACGCCTTCCGTGTACCCTTCTCCAGCCTTCAAATACCCTCCACTGCAGGTCACCTCAGGAGATAGCATTATTAATATAGCCTCAGTCTTGTTTATACAGATTAGAAGTTGTCTAGCAAAGAAGTCTCCCTGAATCTTAAATAATTTTGATTGATTAGAATTTTCCATCCTATTAAACAGAAAGTAAAGCCAAATAACCTGGAGTTGTTTGTCCTGCTTCTGTTCCTTAACCCCTGTGCTCAAGATACTGAAGCTATCTATGGTATTTCATGGAACATTTCTAAGAGCTGGCAAATGGGAAACTTTTCTTGGGGTGGAGAGAGCATACCTATTGGGCTGTGAAGGCACACAGAAGTACCTGTTTTAGATCTTATCTCAGATTTAACTAGCCAAAGGAAGACCTCATTGCCTTCCAGGTGAAGGTGCAAAGTCATACATATTAATGACCTGACAGTTAACATTCTGTTGATTATTATTGCCTTTCTCCATCTCAGAGGGCCATAACTAACTCTCTGGTGAAGTGATTTGCTGTAAGGGGGTGGGGGGTTGGGGGCTTCTCTGGTCATTACACTGCTATTTATTTCTAGAACTCACTGTCAATCAATGAGCAGTGCCAGAGTGTTTTCTCTTTGACCTAGAGGTTTCACATCATAGCAAGGAGTGAAAAGTCTCCCCATCTCATTCCAACAGTGTGCTAAGTAAGTAACTTGGCCAAGGGTAGTTTCAGCTCAATTTATAGAATAGTCCAAAGAGACTCTGAGAAACATGATGATAGGCAGGGACCTTTTCTACCATGTTTCAATACCTACAAACCTATTGAAAGAGAACAGTAGGTAAAACATTTCCTAAAGTTGAAGCAGTAGCTTCGTAGATTCTTGGTTACTTTATTTTTTTTAATGCTTTACATTTGATACAACTATTAAAGATCAATTTTAAAAATAGCTTTCCAGTAATATATTTTAAGTAATATATATTTTAATATCTATGTAAAAAGTGACAGTGGAAGACTGAATTTCTCATATATGGTATGTTTGATGTAGGACCTCACTGTTAAGGCACAAATTATTTCAAAGGAAGTTACTCTAAAGACACTCAGATTATTTCAGAAAAATGCAATAAGGGGAATAGTTTTGGGGTTTATTTTTTATTTTAAAAGAAAATTGACTTATTTACCACAAGCTATTTTTTTCCCTTCTGGCTATAAGGTTTGTACAGACTGGTTTGGTAAATGCTAAACTTTTGTGTCTTTTGCCTTTTTAAAGGAATTGTTAACATTGGAATTGAGGGTATGTACAGAGAAGTTGGTGTCAACACCATTTAAAAAGTCATATTTTTTCACAAATATAGAAAATCATTTTACATAAGAATTTTAAGTATTTGCAATAAATATATGTATATAGATTGTATGTATTCCTATATTCTTATTTTTCATTTTATTATTAAGTAAAAGATCATTAAAAGTGAAAATAAAAATCTTGGAGTTTTTGGTGAATTTTAAGGTTTGACATACATCTGAGAGTGGTGTGGGGAAGGGCCTCAGTTGTTGCCTTATACTACTATGGGATGGTTCCCACAGATTGTATGGACGAGAGTAAAATGAGGAACTTGGTGATAAATCAGGGTAGTGTATTTGTTTCGGAATTTAAGTAAAACGGATTAAATTTTCCTCGTCTGTCTGTCTCCATGTTTTCTCCCTTAATCTGTTTTGTCTCCTAACTACCTAACTTACTGGAGAAGTGAAGAAACGTGGTGCAGCCTCTTGGTTAATGTGCCCATTGTTTGCTTCTAAATCAAAGAATGGTAAGGAAATATCTCAGGGGAAAAAAAATACGTTTTCCTTTCTCCACAGTGGTTAATAATTCTTAGCAGACATTTACTGCCACCACCTTCCAGGCCTTAGGGGAATATGAAGAAATAATCTCTTGAAGATGATAGAAAAAAAAAATCTTTTTTTCCGCTTCCCAGTTCTCTCAGAAGTGAGTTTCATAGCCAGTCACGTCCTTCCTGCCTGTCTAATCTGGAGAGTTTAAAGAGCTGGGAGAATTGTGTGAAAAAACCACCTGTGCCTTGATTAGGTTCTATTTCAGCACGTGCCACTTGAATTTTGAACTCCCTTGTGTCAGGAAGGGTAGCTATGGAAATGAGAACTGAGCCAATTGTTAGGAGAGGTTAATTGTATGCCATACTGAGATTGCTGTCTAATTCATGA